GCACCTTTTCTTTTATATTAGCGGAATTTGATGGTCTGGACCTACCATTCTCTTCAACCTCTCCCTTGTCTCCAGGACACCCCTGCTCCTGATTTTGTCTTTGGCTGTTCTGCTTAGTGCTCCTGTTGGGTGCCTCTTTTTGCTTTTCTGTAATATGTTGGTCTTGAAGCCTTTGTCATCTGTACATTCTCCAAGTGATCTCATCCATACCATGATTTCTACTATCTGTCTCCATTTTTCATTACTAGAGGTTTTCATTTCATATTGATGTATTAACAGATATTTAACATAGTTTTTTAAAATAACAAGCAAGTTTTAAAATATATTATCACAAGTAAAATTTGACTAATCAAAAACTTTACTATTCCTTTTAAAAATGTGAATTTAATTTTCAAAGAAGGAGGAGAGGAATTTGGGGAGATGTCAGGAGTTTATAGAGAACAGGAACTCTTTAGAGCTCAGGAATTCTTGTGGCTTGGTTGTAAAAGTACTGTTAGTTGAAATTGTCAATGATGTGTAGAATTGTAATACAGAAATTGGCAAATGTTATCAATCAGAGCTTCTGCAACCAGAGAGCCCATTTGCCAGTATATATTGTATAACTTTTGCTAATGACCTGAGTCACAATGACAAACCATCTTATTCTAAACTTTAACACACCATGGGATAAATAGTGCCTGCAAGATTTAACAACTAAACTAGTTTATAGATTAGAAGTCAATACTACCTGTAACTTGGGTGTTGACTCCATTATTTAATATCAAAGGAGAGTCCTTGGTTTATTTCATTCTGATTGCTTAGTATATTTCTGTGTTTTTGAATGACTAGTGGCCAAATGGAGATTTTGAATCATTTCTTTAAAAAATAGAGCAAAAGTGTATTTCAATAAAAAGAAAATAAATATTTTTAAGGAGAGTTTCCCCCAAATTTTAGATCCAAGTTAGGGCTGATTTAGGTGTTTTTTTTTTTTTTTTTTAAATGAATCTGTCTTCCATTTTACCTACAAACTGGAAAATAATAGTATGGGGAAAATATCTTATTAGGCTCTGAGTATTTATGGTGATAACAAATTATAATTCCCCTCTTGAGAAACTGTCTCAAAATTCAGAGTTTGTTGCTTACTTCTTTCACTTACTTAGTGAAGAAAACCACATTAAGATCTTGAGACTGACTAGTTAGTGGGTTCCACTTCCTGTTGTGAGGAGGAAAATTATCTTAGACTCAGTGAAGTTTTCAAAGATTGTTTTCATCCTCTCGTTTAACCAATTTAGGTTTCAAATTCACATAGATCAACTGAAACTGAAACCCCTATAAGGTGTTATTTCTATAATATGCACTCTGTCTCTGGCCAAGGGAAACCGTTTCAACAGTTAATAAAAATTGGCATCAGGAGGAGTACTCTCTGAGCAGGGCTGACTCCCAGTGCTGCCTTCCTCTTTCAAAGAAGGCTGCCCAAGGTGCTTGCCTGGACTAAAYGCCCACTCTGTCTGAGGCTGCATTACCCTGCTTGGGACTCTCACTTCTCACCCCAGCCTGGGCAAGAGAATAGACACCAAGGTCGGTCTTGGGCAAAACTGAGACAGAGCTCACACTTTGATTTGGGACTTAGGGTTTGATGGAGGGGGCTGGAGAGCCCCGGGTCTCACCAGAGCCCATGAGGGATGGGTGGAGGAGACCCACTGGGGCCCAGTGAGAAGCCATGGAATGCATGTTGCTCCTGCCRACCTTTGCAGATGCTATGACTGATCCCTAGGGATTGCCTCACTTACTCATCTGGTTCCCTTTAAGGTGCCCTTTTTGTTTGAAATAATGTATTTTCATTTTATTCACCTGGGGTCCAAGCTCTCTAGGAATGACTGTGGATAACTCTCTTTTCTCCTGGTTCCTCTGGTTCTTAGTTGTTTTAATTGCTCCCCGGGGGCCTCCTGTATCCTGATTTTCCATCTGTTACCCACTATTTAAGTTCACATGTTCTAGTACTGGCTCTCGGGTAAGTTTCACCTTCCCATATATTTTGGGCAAAAATATTTTGTCTATAGGTACTAATTGGGTTTTAGTAATAATCTCAGATAATTGGCATATTAAAAAAGGGGCTGGGGCTGGGGTTCAGTGGTAGAGCGCTTGCCTGGCCTGCGTGAAGAAGCACTGGGGTCGATCCTCAGCACCCCATAAAAATGAAAATAATAAAACAAAGATATTGTACCCACCTATAACTAAAATATGAATTTTTTTAAAGAAGGAGGACGATAGGGATTTTAGACCAAGAAGCAGACATTTGGGAGATACTTGTGAAATAGAGCTGAGACTTGGCGCTTTCCATGATAACATGCTTAGACTTTAGTAACATGCTATGAATGTCACACGTCTGTCTTCGCTTAAAAGTTATGGCAAAGAAATTAATCAGTTATTCCTTTTGAAAAGGGAACATTCATAAAAGAAAGAGCAGTATTTCCCAGGACATATAGTTCCCAGGAAATACGACTTAATTTGAACTTCATCATTGCTGAAGGAAACAAAGTGATACTAAAAAAAATATGAGATTTTTGCTTATTAGATAGGAAGTATTTGTTTATATGTTAATGATAGAATATTTTATTGCACTTATTCATATAAAGTTATGTTTTTTTAGTTATCAGTGCATTTACACAACTCTTTTCAAATCTGTGTGAGAATTATAGGATTGAAATTCTTGTAAATATCTTGTTTTTACAAATAAGGAAGTAGATTCAGAGGGATTTTTCCCTGTGTGACACAAGCTACTCATTATGACAGCCATAATTGATTCTGGGCCTCTAGATTTAAAAATACTATCACATTTCCACTGTATATCATATATGCTTCAAAAATATAATAGAATCATATACAAGAGCTATTAGAGCAATAGTTATGTAGAATACTAGAAGGTATATAGAATAATATAAAATGCCATGATTACCAACTTTAAGAACTATTTTTCAATTGTATGCTTTAAAATTTTTTGAGTTCACAATTTGCACAAAGTCAAATTAATTAAGCTTGAATAAATTCAGCTTAGATATTGTAGAAGGAAAATGAAATTTCCTTAAGCAAAAATTCTCTATATTTGCACATGCATATAGACATACACCATTGAGAATTGTTTCTTTTGAGGTGCTTCCTAGTTTTGATGGTATTCTGGTAATACATGGGTTGTTTAAAATGTGTTGTGAAAAAATATGTGTATTTCAAATATGTTGTCTTATATCTGATTTGAATATTGAAGAGTTAGCACAGAAGAGTATTTGATAATAAATTTTTCCTCCATAAAACGTGAGAAATATTTAGAGCTAAAGACAGAATAAGAAATTTAAACTTGGCTTAAAATAAGAATTTCTTGATAAGGAGGTTTGAGAGTCACTGAGTGCACACCAAAAGACATATGAAATTTCTTTTATTATTGTCATTTTTCTGGTATGAGGTATTGAACCCAGGGATGGTTAATTGCTGAGCTACTTCCCCAACCCCTCTTAAAATTTTGAGACAGGGCCTATTTCCCAGCCTGGCCTGGAACTTGCCATCCTGCTGTCTCAGTCTCCTGAGACACTGGGATTACAGGCCTGTTCTATGGTGCAGAGTTGAAATTTCTTTCTCTGGGGTTATTTAATTCATATGGTTTAGGTATAAGTAAAATTATGTGATAGTGGGACCATGAATTTAGACCAGCATGAACCTGTAATATTTTGAGTTGTCTTCCTTTTATAAATAATTTTTTCCTTTTTTTTTTTTTTTTGTGGGCATTGGGGATTGAACCCAGAGGTGCTCCCACTGAATTACATCCCCAGCCCTTTTTATTTTTTAATTTTGAGTCAACATCTCTATGAGTTGACCAGCCTGGCCTTGAACTTGTGATCCTCCCGTCTCAGCCTCCAAGTGGTTGGGATTACAGGTGTGTGCCCCTGTGCCCTGCTGTCTTCCAGGTATTTAAAAATGATCATTTTTAGAAATGATGCAGAATATAGTTTTCCTTATGTCACAGAAAATTAAAAGGGGAAATATCGATGAGTTCTTAAAACTTTGGTGAGCACGGTGCTATCAGAACTGAAGTAGTAGTGAGAACTGCCTGTGGGTGGAAACAGGAAACATTAGTGATAAATGCCGGTTACATTTTTTTTTTCGGGTTCAGCTCAATGTATATTGATTCTAATTAGCACATTTTGTGCCTCAGCTAGTGGCTCCCCTTTAGCTCTGCTCAGAGAGTTTTTTTTTAGAATCCACCCTGCTCATAAACACTGCCACCTCCTCCCTCCTTCTCTCTTTACAAATGTTACAACACAATCAGAAATTTCCTCTTTTCTTTCCTTCCAGCAGTTCCAGCAGGTTCCCTTGCGTCAGAAGCCGAGGAAGAAAACTCAAGGTAATTAGATCTCTTTTGTTTCTTTAATCTCTTGTGTGCACGAGTGTGGATTTTTTTTCTCCCGGATGCCTTGTTTGGGATCAGATTTTTGTCTGTCTGAACGTTAATATCAGGAGGTGGATGACAGATTCATTTTGGGGGATGTTCGGATCGATCTTAAGAAATGACGACATGCTGTTCACTTGGATTAATCCCTCGTGGTATGTCAACAGAGCTCAGAAAAACTGGCACCGGGTCGGGAAGTGGCTGTGTCGCTAGGTGAGGTTTAACCCTTCCACATCTATTGCATAACTACTGCTATCATTGTTCAAAGGAGCTGTGACGGCAGCGGTCTCCCTGCCAGCCTCGAGATGTTCAATTTTCAACTTGTTCTTGGTGAAGAGTATTCTTAGAGCACTACTTGCCTATTAGTCTCACGGCATCTTTGCCCCATGTCTTCTGCCTTCTGGGCATCGGATGAATGTTTAAAAATAATACAAATGATTTTTCTTTGCATTTATTTTGCATAAATCTTGGTTAAAAAAAAATCCAACTTCTAGGAGGTATACCACGAAAAGTTGATTTAGGGTCTCACATAAATCGGGGGGAAGACTTACCTGTCGGTGCAATTGTTGCAGGTTTTTTCACCATGAGTCGGAGGAGGATATCCTGTAAAGATCTGGGACACGCTGACTGCCAAGGGTGGCTGTATAAGAAAAAGGAAAAGGGGACTTTCCTAAGCAACAAATGGAAAAAGTCCTGGGTGGTGCTGAAGGGGTCCTCGCTGTACTGGTACAGCAGTCAAATGGTGAGTCCTCCRGCCTCCGTCCCCGGCCTCTTTACCCACGGGTGGATGAACAATTTTGATTTCTGGGATCGGGAACATAGCAAATTAATAAGTTACAGAAACCCTTTCTGATGCAGTGAAAAACATAGGTGATCTTGTCGTGTTTTACRGAGGAGAAAACCATTCTGCTTGACCACTTCTTGGTTGGGGAGGAAGGAAAGAGGGGATCCCAGTTTATATCCTTGCCGAAGGAGGCTTTTGGGTTCTGTTAATGTTAGTGTTCCATGAGAGATGCGGGTATTCTCAGGATTTACATGCCCATGTAAATCACTTTATATGGGAACTGGACATGGCTGAGGKCTCTGCTGAAAAAGGGTTCAGCATTTCCCTCTATCGAGGGTAGGAACTGATTGGGAGCAGAGAAGCTATTTCTACTTAGTTTCCCCTCCCATCCCTCTGACCTCTGCTATCCATTGGTTTGGAACTGCTGCCCTCCGTGCCAGTGTTGTGTTGGCGACTGGAGTCTCCTGTTCTGTGACGGCATTAAACCACTCATGTGTGGACAATGCCGGATACAGTAGTCACCTAATTTATCCTTTAATAGGCAGACACAGTGGTGGTTGGCTTCACAGCCTGGTTTTCTGCTGCTGCAAGGAGAAGGAAAGAAAGTTCTTGTTAGGGGGTGTGCTCATCTTTCATGGCTGGAAACATTTAGAGATGCTGATGTTGTCACATATCAAATCAGTAGACTCTTCCAGGTAGGACTTCTGTCCACTGACCCTGGTGAGGTCCATTGCTGATCTCGAGGGAGCTCAGTCTCTTTGTAAACGTGAGAATGGGTATCATTTAACCAGTTAAGGGAAAAGTACTCAATCGGTTTTCCATAAGTCAGAAAAATTCTATTTATGTGTTGCCATTCTTTTAAAATGTGCAAGCCCATCTCTCTGAACAATAGCGTCATGGAGCATGTAACTTAACAAATGGGAAACAGGTGCTGTATATTGTTTGTGGGCCAGCTTTTTAGGTGATAAATTTACCTTCATTGGCCACTAGTCAAAATATATTTGCATAATCAAGAAAGAAACAAAAATAAAATTAAAAAAAAAAACTAGCCAAAAATTTGAATTAGTCAGATAATTGGGCACCTTCAAGGAATTGGTTAAATTGGACTCAGATTCAACATCAGTGTCCTGGAGTAAGCACACTTTGCTGGGCTTCTCTCTGCACCCCTCTTTCCAGGATGATTTCTTTGATTTCACTCCATGCACAGCATGGTACAAAGCTCATCATCAAATCCTACAAAAATCCACTTCTTTAAGCATTTGATGAATTATCAAAGATTTAGGGGGTTACCAGAGACAGCCTCTGGTAGCGTGTACAGACTTCTATGCTCTCTTTTCTCTTTCCTGTCTCCTTCTTCCCTTCGGGACCCATCGTGTCTAGCATGGAATAGTTTTAGCTTTTCTTCTTCAAGAAAAGCTGGGGCTGAGGTCTTATCTCCTAACCTGAGGGGGGTTTCCTACACAAATACAGCTTCATTCACGGGAATTAAGGGTAACATAAAATTTTTTTTCTTGTTTCTTACTCTTTTAGGYTCTTGCTCTTGGGTGGTTGTGGCAAGTGGTGGTCATCTGCATCTTTCATAAGATGAGAGGACTTCCTGATTGACCTTTTAACAGCTCTGGGGAACTTCCAGAGACTGTTGGATAAATGGGGTACTGATGCTGCACAGTGCACCTATGGGAAGCAATAAAGCTTCATTGGAACTGTAAATTCATCTTCTCATATTATTCAGCAAATATGTTCTGGATCTATCCCTGTCTTCATAGACTTTAAAGAAAGTCCCTCTGAACCCCCATGTTTAGAGAWTTGGCTCATTTTGGCTTATGCTTTCCTTAGAGGAGCAATGGGTTACCCCCAGGCAGCAAGCCTTTCATATTGTAGGTATCAGAATGTCAGTCTTCCTCAGGGGGCAGCAGCGTTGGCTGAGACTAGACTAAAAAGAGGGGAAGGTCAGAGCTGCAGACCCATGTGGGCACCTGTCCTGATTTGTTTTTGTRCAAATGCCAAAAGCAATACTCAGGTTGCCAATCATGTCCTCAAATAGAGTTAGATTAGCAACATCATTTTGAGAACAAGCTTGACAATAGGTGGCCAGGAAGGTAGCAGATTATTATGGTCTACAA